CTCTCTCTCTCTCTCTCTCTCTCTCTCTCTCTCTCTCTCTCTCTCTCAGGTTGTGCAGTACGATCCGTGTGAGCCTGCAGAATCTGTTGAAGGCCATCAAGGGTTTGGTGGTGATGGATGCTGAGCTGGAGGCCGTCGCGGGCGGTTTGATTGTGGGAAAGGTCCCAGAGAAATGGGCCAAGTGCTCTTACCCCAGCCTCAAGCCTCTGGGCAGCTACATCACTGACTTTCTCTCAAGGCTCAAGTTTTTGCAGGTGAGAGTGCTTAAAAGAAAAGATCATTTAGATGAACAGGATCACATGAGAGCTTTGTTGACTTCACTTTTCATTTGTGTGCCCCGTAGGACTGGTGCGACGCCAGTAAACCCAACGTGTTCTGGCTGTCTGGCTTCTTCTTCACCCAGGCCTTCCTGACTGGGGCAATGCAGAACTACGCCAGGAAGTACCACATCCCCATTGACCTGCTAGGCTTTGATTATCAGGTCAAAAGATGCACACTTTGTAATCCCTCTGTCTCCACCTGAAAGATATTCTCATAACCCTAAAAGTAAACCGATCTGTGGTTTTGTGCTCATGATTTTATCTTGCAGGTTCTTCCTATTGATGAGTCGGACACACCGCCTGAGGACGGTGTTTACGTTAACGGATTGTTTCTGGATGGAGCTCGATGGGATAAAGGAAGGTAGATGTTAATACTAGGGTTATTTTTCATAAAAAAATTATATGTTGTGATAGTGAAGCAGACTTGATAAACTGTAATTATTGTTTGTCTCCCTATCAGTGGAGTTCTGGCTGAGCAGCACCCCAAAGTCCTGTTTGATGTGGTGCCAATCATCTGGATAAAACCCAGTAAGTATATTACCATACAGATGAAATGGACGCCATTCATATTTCGAGGTGTCTAATTAAAACACGTTATTGTAAACAACTGTGGCTGGAGACTGAAGATGCGATTTCATGTCCGTCCATCTCGTGAGCGTGACATCTTCTTAACATTTAGAACAAACGTCCACCTGGACCATAGACTGTAAATAAGAAGTCGACGTAGTCATCGTGATTTCTTCCATTGGACTGCCGTTTTGAAGCCTCCAGTTCGGCGATTTCACCTTCTCCATTTTGGAATATGACCATCGTCATCTTGGATTTTTTGCATTTTAAAACTAGAGATTGACACCATGTTTACAATGTTTACTGAGGTACTGATGGCCATTAGAGAGAATGCAGCTTTAAGACACAGAACCGGAGGTTGCCGCCTGACCTGGACTCAATAATTAAATGAGTGGATTTTGGTTGTCAAAGGTCAAAGATCAAAGGTCACTGTGACCTCACATCCATCCCATTCTTGTGATTCTTGTCAGAAACACCCTTAAGGCAAATTTCTTCAAATTTGGGGGAAACGTCCACTTGGACTCTAGATTTTGGTGGTCAAAGGTCACTGTGACATCACAAAACACGTTTTTGATCAAAACTCAAGAATTCATACGCTAATTATGACAATCTCACACAACCGTCTAAATAGGATAAAATGATGAAGTGACGACATTTTGGACAAACGAACCAACACGGGGTGAAAATTCTAGTTTCCTCTTGATTTTCCTGACTCTCTGCTTCGTCTCTTTGCTTCCTTCTCTCCCGAGCAGCTGAAAAGAAGAGCATGGATGAGGCTCAGAAGCTGTACGTCTGCCCTCTCTACAAGACCAGCGAGAGGAAGGGCACCCTCTCCACCACAGGCCACTCCACTAACTTTGTCATTTCCATGGTGTTGCCCACTAGCCTGCGCCCTGAACACTGGATAAAGCGTGGTGTGGCCATGCTCTGCCAGCTGGATGACTGAAAGACTGAAGCACTTTACCGAGATAGTTTAAACACTGTGATGCCTTTTTTTATTCTCTGTCCTTTCACAATGCAAAACATTAAACATGACAACTGTGTGACCACCTAGAGTTTGTGTTTCAAAGCTATGGAGAGATGATAAGCTTTTCAGTTCTGACATTTCTGAAAATTATGTCAGAACTCAAACAAACTTAAAGGCACTTTAAATTCAGATGGAGGTAACAAAATGTACCTCAGACGCACTGTGAGTTGAGGTGATTACAAAACAAGCAAAAAAGAGTGCAATGCATTGGTTTTTATTACATTTAACAAACCTTTTATTTCTTCCCGGCACACAACGCACATGTTTTCTGTACTTTGTTCTGTCGGCTTACAGTACACGTACATAAATATCAACGCCCCACTTATGCCGTTTGAGTCTTTACACCAGTCAGCAAGAATCGTTTTCTGGCATCGAGTCGGGTGAGGGTGTACAACATTACTACTGGAAAACATTTGCAGTAGTTGTACTGTGTGGTGACGTGGCCACAAGCCAAATGTAGAATAGAAGCAAAAGCTTTCTAAAATTAAAAACGGATGTTTTGAAATAAAAAACAAGATGTTAAACGAGTGCCATCATAAAAACTTGATGATCTGGCTTGTCAGCTGCTACTCTTAAATAAAAAGATTCTGAGGCCGTGGTCCCTTTTCTCAGTGCCGACCTTTCTCTCTTGGCTGCTCACTGTGAGCTGATAATGTACTATTAATGTGAAGGCTATGATCTGCTGCACTGTCTCTGTTATCCAGGCTTTGCTGTCCTCCAGCACACAAAATAGTACAGCAACAAACATGGTAAAAAAAAAAAAAATTCTCATGAATGATCACTAAACAAAGAAGTGAAAAAAAGAGCTTTATGTACAACAAATGGAAATGTACGCTTAAACTCATGCATATGTAAATAGGGCCTCTGTGTTATGAGTGAATGGGCATATGAGCTGAATGGTGGCCATTGCAGTGCTCAGTGGGTCAAAGCGACATGTAGGTGCTGGCTGTGACGACCCCCGTAATCTGATATTTATAGTGGGAGGGGTATAAATAGCTGCAGCCTGCTGACTCTACTGTCGTTAAAGCCACCGAAGGCACACAGCACATTTGACTGAAGGTAAACACCGGACGATTAATGAATAATGCCTCTAGAGAAAAAGCTAGATTGATTAATGTGGAGTTTTCTGTATCGACGACCTGTTGGACTTTATGATTTGTTGTTGTTCTAAAATGAATGTATAACAACTGCTCACATTCATTTGTGCGGTAGGAATCTCCATGCACTTATTTTGGCCACACTGTAAACTCTCCGCATGAGGCACATGGCCTGTAAAGTTAAGAGCTACATAGCAAAATAGGGACTGCTCATTGGAGTCATTATAATCAAAATCTTGAATGTATTGTTATGCATTTCTGACATCTAATTCAACAGGAATGACAGGTGCTTAGCTGCACCGTGCTTTTTTTTCTCCTGTCAGTATTGAGGGCTGCGAGTTCTTAGGTGCCGGATTTAACAGTGACTCTGTCTGGACTAACAGATGAATACGGTGACAGAAGATGACTTTTATCAATCGGAGGACGACCTGGATGAAGACGAGGCGACGCAATACATCATTGAACAAAGTCTGATTGAATACAGAAAACTCAAAGGATTGAACCCAAGGTTAATCTCTAACCACCAAGTATGGGTTTCTATTTCTCTCATATCTCTTGTTGAACACTTTCATTTTTCTTTCCATAGTGATCTGATACCCAGCGAAGACCCTGATGAGATCTTCAAAGCAATCAAGGCGGGTAAGATGGTGTGATTCTTGAACCTGTCGCGGATTATCGATTAATCTTGCCAGAAGTTCTGATATATATAATGTACTGTCCCCATGTTTAGGGGATGAAGACGCGCTGTACAGACTGGTGGTGCAGACAGAGACCCTGTCCAGAGTTGATGAACGAGGATGGATCCCGCTGCATGAGGCCTCAGCGCACGAGAACAAAAGGACACTAGAGATCATCTTCTCAGGTAGTGAGGTTATAACTGTAATCTGTGACTCTTTTTTTTCATTTATTCTGGCATGTTGATTTGTTTGTTTTGTGTTCCAGCGTCAGCCCCGGGTGCAGCCCAGTGTCGCACCCTAAAGGGGGAGACGCCGCTGTTCCTGGCAGTGGTTCATGGACTCAGAGAGAACGCTACATTCCTGTTACAGAACGCTTGTAGCCCGGATCTCCAGAACGATGAGCAGGATTCTCCATTAGTGGCAGGTCTGAATGCAAAATGCACCCCTTTATGTTACTAGATACTAGATATTTGCTCATTTCTTATTTCTCAGCTATTCTGAACGACCAGTACGACTTGGCCACGCTGTTGCTGCGTTACGGTGCCAGAGTGGACCAAACGGGACCACTGAACAGGACGGCTCTACACGAGTCAGCCTTTTTAGGCCTGGAGAACTTTGTTTATCTGCTGCTGGTTTCTGGTGCCGACCCAAACGCAAGTGACATCAAAAAGAAAACACCAGTGGCTCTGGCTGCGCAGAATGGACATCTGAACGTGGTGGAGGTCCTGTTAGAAAAAGGTATGTTGGATACGGGGATTTAACCTCTGCTGTGGATATCAAAGGTATCTGGGTTTGATTACTTATTCATTTGATCTGACAATTTACAGTGCAATAGTGGAGGATAAAACAAAAAAGCACTTTGTAAACTCTGTGTGTCAAAAGTGCTATATCAACAAAGTTATTATTATTATTATTATTATTTAATCTTTCCATGCTGTTTTCCAGGTCTGGAAATCGCCCATGCATATTCTTATAGTAAGCCTATATGTATTGATTTTGTAGGAGCCCATGTGTGTTGTGAGTCAGAGTCCGGCAGTGTCTTGTTCGATGCAGCAGCATCAGGAAACCCCGACATAATCTCCTTGCTGCTGGACCACGGAGCCGATCCCAACCGGCCTCTGTACAGTGGGCACCTGCCGCTTCACCGCGTGGCCTACCATGGTCACATATTGTGAGGAATATCTGTGTCACGACATCTAGCTCTCCCACTTTTCAAATAGAGTCTGAACCACACTGTTGTGTTCTCTGGCAGGGCACTGGAGCACCTCATCCCCGTCACTAAGCTGGACACCGTGAAGGAAAGTGGAATGAGCCCTCTCCACTCTGCCGCCGCGGGGGGGCATGCCCATTGTGTGGAGATGCTCCTCAAAGCTGGCTACGATCCCAACTTCATGCTGCACCAAAGGGTGCGTAGCAACTACGACGATGAGCGCAGGTCTGCCCTCTTCTTCGCCGTGTCCAACGACGATCTTCAGTGCACCCGCTTGCTGTTGGAGGCGGGGGCAATGGTGAACCAGGATCCCCTCAACTGTCTGCAGGTGGCTCTCAGACAGGGCAACTATGAAATGATCAACACGTTGCTGAAGTTCGGGGCAAATGTGAACTACTACTCCCGCGTCAACACCACTCACTTCCCCTCAGCGCTGCAGTACGCCTTGAAAGACGAGGTCATGCTGAGGATGATCCTGAACCACGGGTACGACGTCAAGCGTTGCTTTGACTGTCCGTATGGAGACGGTTCCCACGACTATGCTCCTTGGACGACCACAGTCATCAAAGACATGGTGGTGAGCCGAAGCTTGTCTGGGAGGAAAAAAAAGGATGTGAAGAATTGAAGAAATATGAATGAACTCAAGGTTTTTTCTTTGACTGCCACGTGTCTTTGTTTGTCTCCTAGTTCTGTGAGGTGATAACGGTGTCCTGGCTTGCGCACTTATCGGCTCAGGTGGTGAGCATCATGCTGGACTACACCGACCACGTCTCCTTCTGCACCAAACTTAAGGACACCTTGGAGGAGCAGAAACAGTGGCCGGAGATCTGTCAGGTCCAAAGTGAGAGCTGATCCAGCTTTAGTTATTTTCTGCCAGCTTTAGTTATTTTCATTGTGTGGCAATCCCATAGAAATAGAATCGAGTAGAACGGATATTTAACGTTTTTCTGTGGTCATTTGAGGAGTACAAAAGAAGATGGCGATTGTTGTCAATTGTTATAATGACAACAGACGTCAGTGGGGCTGTAAGGTGTTTGTCGCAGCTCGCAAGTTAGAGATCAAACACAGCTCCAGAGACGGATGGCTGACTAGTTAGCAAGGTAGCTTGTACCACATGGTGGAATTAGCAAGCTAGCTAACTAGCCAGCTCTACGCTAGTTAGCTTGTCCTTCTCCGGAGCGGCGGTGAGTGATGTGGAGTTACCGATAGACCCAGCACTAGCCAGCTGATGTTAAATAGCTAGCCGGCTTGATAATCCCATCATGCTTTAATGCTACACTGGTTACAGAAAAATGAGCCAAAGAAAGTTGTCACTTATCTGGCGATAGCAATGTGTTTTCCTACGCTGTGACAAGAGAGTGTGGATGAAGCATTAAGTTGTTAAATTTGACTCTTCTGCTCTGGCTCACGTTACTACTCCTCTGCTCGTTTTAGTCGTTGAATGTCACCACAGACACTAAGTTCGTAATACTGCAAATATTTATTTTGCCTTACTTTCGTCAGTGGGCCATAGGCTCAGTCAACATTGTGTTACCTCCTTCAGCGATAGACAGTGACATTTATATGAAAATATTCAAGATTGCCACTTTAACTGACTTTATTTACACTCAGGAAATGCACGGGGCCTGAAGCACCTCTGTCGGTTGCGGATAAGAGAGCATCTCAGTCGCCTGCGCTTGAGAGCCCCACTTTTCATCAACTTCCTTCCTCTTCCTCAAAGGCTGAAAGATTACCTACGCTACAAAGAGTTTGATGTCTACAGCAGGGGCAGCCTCGTTCACCCGCACTGAAAACGTGTTTACAGCTGTCACAGAGGCACGAAGACAGTCAGTATGCATTAGGATTCAAGGATAATTTACTGTCATTATGCAACACAGAACAGAATTCAGTTGTAGCTCATTTGCAACCCAACAAACACATGACGAACAAAACAAAACCAGTAGTACATTCCTGTAGTGCATTTTTTAAATTTGCATAATAAGGAATGTAAACAGCAGCAACAAAAACAATTATCTGGGCAGATAACATGGCCGACATCTTCACATTAAAGATTGTGTTACCTGTATCATGTAGTTTTTCCAAATACATGTTGTCTGTTGGCTACTTTAAGCTGTGCAATATTATTTGTAGGCCACAAAGTTGTAAGTATGTACTTTTGAGTTCTTTCTTTTAAAAAGCTGCAGTGACGTGTTAATGCTTTGTGTAAAGATTCACTCTTTGTTTGAGCAACTCTCTGTTTAAATGGGTCATAAAGAAATATGAAACAACTGCAAATAATGTATTATTATTACAGTACATTTATCATTATAAAGTCGTATTGTAGTAAGACTCCTTTTATAATGTGAATACAGGAAATTGAAATGAGAGGTGGCCTGAAGGCATAAAACCAGTATGCAATTGAAACGTAATTAAATACATTTAAAATAACTCGATTCTTTATTCTTTCTTCTAAGATTAACGAGTGGGGGAATACATGCCTCTTTGTCACCCCCTGGTGGTATAATGAAGTATTGCAAGAGGTATTTGTTCTTCAGGTTTTACAGTAAAAAATCTATATATATATTTTTTTTTGTACACATATACATACACTTATAAACATATATGTATGTACGTTTACATATACATACATTTATATATATAGT